TAAGTAGATCCCACTCATGATGTCCCGTGTGTGTCAGAGTAGAACTGTGCCCACAGGGTTCTCAGTGGATGATTTTTCATAAGTAGATCCCACTCCTGGTGCCCTGTATGTGTCAGAGTAGAACTGTGCTCACAGGGTTCTCAGTGGATGAGTTTTCATTAGTTGGTTTTACTCATGGTGCACCCATGAATGCTTAAAAGTAAAACTGTGCTCCACAAGGTTATCAAATGATATATTGCCTGCCCTTTCTCCCACTCAGCCCATGGGTAGGGCCAAACCTCCATCATTTAGATCACTGCCATTTTTAGAAGCCTGGAGTTTACTAAGCTTCACAATGACCCATGTTGGCCTGAATTGAAGTGATCTCTGTTGGATTTTTGGGTCATCTTTACAGAATCTAAACACCAGGTCTTTCTTCTTTGGCACAGCAGGGTAGGATGAGACCTCCATCCTCTAGGTTTCTGTGCTGTGTGTGGTTTTGGTATAATCGATTCAGACACATAGTAACACTATGTGTTCAGACTGTGTTTTCAAAGACTCTGATTTTATTTTTTGCAAACAGATCCCCAGGCCTTTCATACACAGTGCTGCTGGGGAGATTCCAACCTCCCACAGCAACATTTGCAGTTGAGTGCAAACTGTATGGAATACCCAGATACCCAGGGCAGACCCCACCCCTCGTCCACTCCTATCTCTATATTGGAGAAAACTTAGTCCCTGTGCCGGCCATGAGCTTGCAGACCAAAGCGGCTGATCAGAGCCTCTCACAGTTAGAACGTTCTGGTCCACTGGAGGAGGAATTCGTATCTGGGAAACCATCCAGAAAACCCACTGCAGATGAGTCAATTGTGACTCGTAGTGGCGCCATCGGACAGAGTCCAACTGTCCCTCAGTGTTTCGGAGGCTGTGTATCTTCCCAGAAGGAGCAGTCAAGATATCAGACAATTTGTTGAGAAAGACAAATCTGTTTGTCTTTAAACTGTTTAAGAGCAAAGATGTCGATATATGTATTGTTAATACATATAGGTATGTATGTTGTTAAGTGCTGTCAAGTCGGTTCCTACCCATAGCAACCTTGCCACATTCACGAAGGTTATTTCTTACAGAATTCCATTTAATAAGCATACAAGAATTGATTGGAACACAAACCTTGGCAAACACCAGAGTAGTAATAATCAGGGGTAGTAATTATCACTGTGGATTAGAAGTGGACTGTGAGCTGACGGTTAGCAGTTCAAGTACACCAACTGCTCTGCAGGAGAAATATGAGGCCTTCTTGTCTTGCAGAGATTTATAGCCTCAGAAACCCAATAGAGTCACTATGAGTTGTAAGGGGCTCAACTACACTTAATAGCAAGCCAAAGTATTATGGAAATCAGAATAGCTGCCGTCTCACAAGTATCACCCTATGAGACACTTAAGTATAAAATTAAGGAAATCATCCTCAAAATATGATAGAATTGAAGGAAATGTATGAAAAGAAAACACTCTTAAACACAAGGCAACATCACTGTACTTAATTATACACAAAATAACATCAATCAAAACATTACAAAGTAAAAAACAACATTTGCTCAAAGCTATTTCATGAGGCTTTTTTATAATAGCCAAGGATTTTAAGAAAGGTAAAATTAATCATGGACTGACAAAGTCACAGACATTGATGAGGATATATCCCTGCTGTTACAATGAAACTGTCATGTTTCTCCGAGAACTTTGCTCACATTAAGCGCATTTTTTTTCAACATTGCTTACATCACAGTAGCAGTATGGAAGAAAACATCTAATTTTTGACATAAGTGGTCTTTTATCTGTGAATCCTTTTATGTATACTGAGGTGTGAGGCCTGACTAAAGGCTTTCCCACACTCCTGACATTCATAGGGCCTCTCTCCACTATGGAATCGCTTGTGTGTACTGTATTGTGAGGCATATCTGAAGGCTTTCCCACACTCCTTACATTCATATGGCTTCTCTCCACTGTGGATTCCGAGGGTTGAGCAATAAGTAAACCTTTTCCCACATTCCTTACATTCATAAGGCTTCTCTCCTCTGTGGATTCTTCTATGTGAAATGAGGGTTGAGGGATGAGTAAACCTTTTCCCACATTCATTACATTCATAAGGCTTCTCTCCACTGTGGATTCGTCTGTGTGAACTGAGGGGTGATGGATGATTAAACCTTTTCCCACATTCCTTACACTCATAGGGCCTCTCTCCACTGTGGATTCTTCTATGTATTGTGAGGTTGGAGACTCGGCTAAAGGCTTTCCCACACTCCTTACATTCATAGGGCCTCTCTCCACTGTGAGTTCGCATGTGTCTACTGTGAAGTGAGGAATGCTTAAAGGCTTTCCCACACTCCTTACATTCATAGGGCTTCTCCCCACTGTGAGTGTGCATGTGACTAGTGAGGTGTGAATATTGTCTGAAGACTTTTCCACATTCTTTACATTCATAAGCCTTCTCTCCTCTGTGAACTTGTACATGTTGCATGAGTAATGACGCCTCACTAAAATCTTTCTCACATTTCTGACATTTATAAGGTTGGTGAAAATTTGCATTCAAAATGAGAGATGAAGAAGAATGATAGATTTTACACCCATCTTTACATTCATACTGCTGACTTCTCCCATCTTCTGAGGATGAGAACATTTCTCCGCATTCGTTAAATTCATAGCATTCTTCACCAGTGACTGTTGTGAGGGGACTCGGAAGGGTTGAAATAGAAATGAAATCTTTCATACAGACTTGACATTTTGGGTTTTTTGTCATAGGAGTGATTACATGAGAGGGAGAACTGCAGATGTCCTCACATTCTTTACACGGACAGGTATTGCATCTGCTTTGATGGAGACATGCTGAATGATCAATGAAGACCTTTCCAGACTTGCAGCATTTCAAATGGTTTACACCTCTGGGATTTCCTTGGCGCACAGTAAGACTTGGAATCGGGCTGGTGGTTTCCCCACAGTGTCTGCCTTCAGAACCTTCACAGAGGTTCTCTATTATGTGAGTTCTGTGAATGAATGACAGGCAGTGTGAAGGTCAAACTGATGAGCTGTAGTATAAACTTTTAACTAATGCACAATCAAAAGCAAAAAAAAAAAAAAAAAGGCAATATGGTGTTGGAGAGAAGATTGTTCCCATTTCGCAATTTCCAAACAGTGAGCATGCATGGTTTCTGCCCTCATTTGTCTCATGTTTCATCATTTAGCACAAACATAATTACTCTTTATGTTTTCCCAAAACTATCACTATGATCAGTTTCACAGCATTCTGTCATGGTTCAACAATTTCTGACATAAAGAAGAGAAGTGGCCATGATGTCTTGTAAGCAAGTCTTTTGTCTGTTGACATTTGATCTGATTAAGAAACTTGCCATGGTGTTGGGTTCAGGTGGCAATCAACTACCAATTTGAATGCGTGTTGCTCTCCATATCAGGCAAGCAACACAACCACCCACAGTGGGAGATCGGTAGAGTTGCGGAGAGCAACAAACATTCAGAGGTGGGAGTCGACCACCATCTTTGAATGTCACGCTGCTCAATGTTTCCAACTCAATGGAAAAAGGCCCCACGATGAAAGGCACCTATCACCTTAGCCTGGTTAGCAATTACTGTACATTATATTTAAAGCCCGAGTACAGATTCATAAATACTGACAAAATGGCCTCAAATCATTGTAGAAAAATGGGATTGAAAGATACTGGGATTTCCCCATGAACTTTTTAACGTCCCCCCATATAAGTGTATTCTAATGTCATGACACCTTAGGACTTTGACCTGAGACACTGTTTTTCCTTGTTTGAATGACACTCACGTCAAATGTCTGCCTTGGTTTTCATGGTGACCTTTACTGCCAGGTGACGCTGTGAATTCACTTAACATAGAGGACCAGGTGTGATTCTTTGTAAATTGCACCATTATTTGTTCATTGGATAACTGTTCTCCATCATGGTGATTTCTAGACACTGACACAATAATTCAAGTTGAGTTCCACAATATAAAACAAATAGGAATGACTTGGGGCGGGGGGGGGGGGAGGAAGAAAGGGCTCCCCTAAACATGTGCAGTCGCATGTCCTGTTTCAACACCTTGCAATGGTCAAAGAGCAGTATACTAGGAGATGCTTCTGTGAGGACTGAGTCACAGTGAGACATAGGAATAAGGAGCTAAACAGAGAGCTGTTAGACACAACACACATGCGACACTAAATGAGGAAAAGGGTCTCTTAGACCACAGCTGTGAAAGAACTGCTAATGTCAGAAAAGAAATCTCAGCTGTCTGTGAAATTGTGCCTTCAGCAGAACCAAAACTTTTTAGGTGACTGATTCAAACATCAACCCCACCTCCATTCAGAAACGGTCCTTTTAAAAATGTGTCCTGTCCTGACACAGTGGTCTCTAAGTGAGTCCTTTCTCCGCTGTTTGGGATTGTCCCTTTGCTGCTGTGGAAATGAAAAAGGCAGAGCTGACATGGATCACGGAGAAACGGACATCGTGAGGGACAGCACTAACGAGCAATGAGCATTTCCTTGACAGTGAGGCGGTTCTTGGATCCTCAGAGTCTTTGAAGACGGACCCAGTATTAGATGATTTGCAGCAAAATAATCATATTCAACTAAACACATAAACACAAGGAAGCTCTCAGAAAGGTACCACAAATCTCTCAGTGCCTGAAACCGATGCCTGAAGATAATGTTTACACTTAACACTGTTATTCACAAGAGAAAAGAACATTTACTCTAATACATAAAGCAACTGTTTATGGAGAAACCCAGGCATGTGAACTCCCTATGATGAGGGAACTGCCTCTTTTATGGAACAATGTATCTCCACTGCTCATCCCATGTAATTCAGCAACATTGATGAGTAAAATATTATTGTGCACTTAAGGAACTGTAAAAAGATGCCAATCATACCTAGAGAAGCCAGGTTTCTGAAGGTTTCCATCATCACGTCTCTGTAGAGTTTCCTCTGAGTAGGATCCAGTAAATCCCACTCTTCCTGGGAGAAGACCACCGCCACATCTTCAACGACCACTGAGTCCTAGAACATCCCACACATTCCCGATCAGCAAGGCAGTGTGCACTGCAATAGGTGCAACAACACAGTTCCACGACACTGAGAAGTCACAGGTGTGTAACTCAAGGTTCAGCGCTTTCCCGAGGTCTGCTCTAGGGAACAACCACAGCTGATTCACACGAGGTTCTGCACTCTTCCAAGGTGTGCTCTAGGGAACAGCCATCGGCCTTGTCTACATTCACTTCCTCACTGACAGTATCTTGTCTCAGAAACTCCCAACATCCTGAAACAATATGTCCACAGTTTAACTGTGACCAACAGCAGTCTATTCCTCTCTCTCTATGGTCTAGAACAATTAGAAAGTACATCAGAAACTACAGAAATTTCCTTATTATTCGATAACAATCCATTTTATCTCCTTCCATAGACTAAGTGGACCCTCCATAAGCAGGAAACAGGGGAGGCACTAACAACTTGGAGACAGTGCAGAACAGCAGCATTTCCTTTTTCCCATCACACCTAGGGAAGGGCCAAAGATGCACACAGACAACAACAAAATGCAACCCAGGGCCCTGAGTGGTCATATCTTCTCCAACTCCACAAGGTCCATAAATGACCAGCCTTCAAGAGAGTGCTCTTGTCTTCTACTGAGTAAGAAGAGTCACGTGAGGTACTACTTCCTTATCAGCAAATGTTTATTATAGGAAAGAGGTTTGCAAGTGAAGTCGGGGATGGCTTATGGCTATGCTGTGCCCCCATGTCCCCAAACAAATGCTGGGCTGGGGATGAAAAACTTTTGGGGTGGGGTAAAGGCATGATGTTCATTCAAAGAGACAGGCGGGGATTTCAGGGAAATGGCACATTTAGGATGGGCCATGCTCTGGACTGCATCGTTGGGTTGAAATGCACGGTCTTCAGTTTAAGCTCACCAGCCACCCGTAGAAAACCCTAAGCAGGTGTGCTATGGGTCAGACCCAACTCCACAGCATTCGACAACAACAACAACATGCCCTGTTGTGGCACTGTAGAAGCTCAACGTCTGTTTGAACCTCAAAGGTCGGCAATTCAAACTCACATATCACTACTCGGAAATCCTACTACACAAGGTCACTATGAGTCGAAACTTACTGGATGGCTCTTAACAGCAACAACATGGTAACAAGCTGCAGGTGCAGCATTTATTCAAGATGGATTGATACCACCACAAAAGTCTCTGTTGTTGCTAAGTGCTGTTGAGTTGGTTTTGCCCCAAAGTGTCCATGTATAGGGTTTCAAAGGAGCAACTTGTGAGCTTGAATCACTAATCTTGTGTTTCTGAGCAAATTGGCAGTGCACTACATTAACCCCCAGTGACACATCTTCTTATGGAATGGCCTTCATAAGCTTTGCAGTTTCCAGCCCCAGGGAAAGGTTATCCTTCAAGGTGGGTAAAGCCAGTAAGCCTGCACTAGGGAGAAAACACAGAGGTCTTATGGTGGTCTGTTTACAGAAAACAGACTATAAAATGGGAAAGGTCTTGGGGTGAATGTCTGTAACTTCCACAAGGCTCTCCTAGGATCCCTGTCTCAGGATTTGGAGGGGTCAAGTAGCACAATTTTTGGAAAACACTCAAGGAATTGAAAGCAGAAAATCAAGAGAAATCTGTACACTATTCATTGCAGCACTGTTCACAATAGACACCTATGGAAACAACCAACACGTCCATCAGCAGGTGAACTGATACAAACATACAGCCAATCCAGACAACGGGACACTGCGTAGCTTCCAACACAAAGCATGTGATGAGTTCACCACATAACTTAACTAGAAACCAATAAAAGAGAGTCATCTGGAAAATCCCAACATCTATAAGAGAGTTAGCACCAACAACATACTTCTAAAGAACACCTGGAACAAAGAAATCACAACAGAAATATCAAATTCTTTTAAATTGGTGATTATGTGCTCTGGAGTCCATTCCAACTCATTGCAACCCTGTACAGGGTTTCCGAGTCTGTAAATCTTTACAGGAACAGAAAGCCTTGTCTTTTTCCTGTGCAACAGCTGGTAGCTTCGAACTGCTGACCCTAAGTTCAGCAGCCTGATTCGTAACCACTTCATTTTTCTTGGCTCAACCATCAAGACAAATGGAAGTAGCAGTCAAGAAATCAAATAACGTATTACATTAGGCAAATCTGCTGCACGAGACCTTTTTAAAGTGCTGAAGAGCAAAGATGTCAGCTTGAGGTCTAAGGTGAGCCTGAACAAGCCATGGTATTTTCAATCACCTCATATGCATGCGAGAACTGGACAGTGAATAAGGAAGACCGTAGAAGAATCGATGCTTTTGAGTTATGGTGTTGGAGGAGAATATTGAAAGTGCCATGGGCTGCCAAAGGAATCAACAGATCTGTGTTAGAAGAAGTGTAGCCAGAGTGCTCCTTGGAGGCCAGGATGGCCAAACTCCGTCTCTCATACTTTGGACCTATTGTCAGGAGGGACTGTTCCCTGGAGAAGGATATCATGTTTGGTAGGGTGGAGGGTCTGAGAAAAAGAGGAAGACACCCAGCGAGATGGATTGGCAAAGTAGCAGCATCAATGGGCTCAAGAGTGGCAATAATTGTGAGGTTGTCCTAGGATCGGGCAGTTTTGTTCTGTTGTGCATAGGGTCGCTATGAGTTGGTACAGACTCAATGGCACCTAACAACAACAACAACAAACAAAAAAAAAAACAGAATGCAGAAGCAGGGCAAATTGCAAAGTAAATTTATGAGGATATAGAACATAGAACAATTCTTTTAACTAAAGTAACTGCATTCCTTCCATTTTCTTTTGATGCATCCTCTATCATTCAATATTCTGCCCAAAGAATTCTTCAATATGGCAACTTGAGACTTTCATATTTTTTTCTTTAGTTCTTTCAGCTTGAGAAATTATGAGTGTATTATTCTCTTTTGGTTTCCAACTCCAGGTCTTTGCATATTTCATTATCATATTTGACTTTGTCTTCTCAAGATGCCATTTCAGATTTTCTTTTCAGCTCTTTTACTTCTTCATTCTCTTCATCCACATTAGCTACTCCAAGTTCAAGAGTAGTTTCAGAGTCTTTTCAGACATCCACTTTGTTCTTTTATTCCTTTTCAATGATGTTTTGCTTTCTTCATGTATGGTGTTCTTCATGCCATCCCACCACTCCTATATTCTTTGTTCATTAGTACTCAGTGTGTCAAGTCTGTTGTTGAGGTGGTCTTTAAATTCAGGTTGCATTTTCGCTCTCTCATGGACTTGGTTTAAATTTTTTTCAGCCTCTTCCTCAACTTAAATAGAAGCCATGGATGGTCTGTTGCACAGTCAGCCTTGAACTTGTTTGGCTGGTGTTATTTAGCTTCTCCACCTTCTCTTCCCACAGATGCAGTCCATTTATTTCCTGTGTACTCCATCTGGAAAGGTCCATGTGTATAGTTGGTGTTTATGTTATTGGAAAAAAACCAAACGGTATTCTCAGTGAATATGTCGGTGGGCTTCCAAAATTCTATCACGGTATCACAAGCTTTGTTTTTAATCACAGAGATTTTGTGATAAACTACTGATCTTTCCATTGATCCTCCCTCTTTATTTTGAACCCTGCACTCCAATCACCAGTAATTATCAATATTGCTTGACTGTATGTTGGATTGAGTTCACATTGAAGAATTTGGTAGACTTCAATTTATTCATCAGTGGTTTTAACAGCTAGTGCAAAAATTTGAATAATAGTTGTGTTAACTGGTCTCCCTTGTTTGTTGTTGTTGTTAGGTGCCATTGAGTTGGTACTCATAGTGACCTTATGCATAGCAGAACTAAACATTGCCTGATCCTGGGCCAACCTCACTGTCGTTTCTATGCTTGAGTCCACTGATGCTGCCACCTTTCTTAATTTTAAACCACTCTATTTTCCCATGTTCTATTCGAACAACTGCCTTTTGGTCCATGTACATATTCCTCATGAGCACAATTAAGTGTTCCCGAATACTCATACTTCACAATGTTGTCCATAGGTTGTCATGATCCACGCAATTGAAAGTCTTTGCATAGTCAATAAAGCACAGGTAAATATCTTCCTGATATTCTCTGCTTTCAGCCAAGATACATCGGACATCAGCCATGATAGCCTTCGTTCCACGGCCTTTTCTGAATCCGGCTTGAACCTCTGGAAGTTCTCTGTTAATGTATGATTGTAGCCGTTTCTGTATTACTTTTAGTAAAACTTTACTTGCATGGGGTATCAAAGAGATTGTCTGATGATTTCCATATTCTGTTGGGTCACCTCTCTTTGGAATGGGCATAAATACAAATATCTTATAATCAGTGGGCCAGATAGTTGTCTTCCAAATTTCTTGACATAAAGGTCTCCCTTGTAGGCATATACATTTAACACTACCAGAGACAGCAATACATTTCAAAAGCGATTTTACAATGCTCTTTTTGATGATAAATACAATGCTATTCCACTTCAAGTTATCATTTCTGGCATAATAAACCTTATGATTGTCCAATTCAAAATGGCCAGTACCTGTGCATGTCAGCTTACTAATCCTATAACACTCTTTATATGTTCAATTTCGTTTTTGAAGAATTCCAACTTTCCTAGATTCATACTTTGTACATTCCATATTGTGATTTTTAATGTATGTTTGCAGATAGATGTTCTAGTTTGCATTATCTCCCATCAGCAATAGAAGGTTCTGTTTGCTCCATCCACATCATTAAGGTCAACTCTACTTTGAGGAAACAGCTTTTTTTAAAGTTTTTTTTGTGAACTGATTGATAGTTTACCATGGGAGAACATCAGCTTTACACGCTTCCTATCATATTGTTTCATTGTAATGATTATAATCTCCTCCATGTATCATAATTCAACAGTATTTGCTGCCATTTTTTTGTTATGTACACCAAAACACTCAGGAATATGCAATCATTCAAACACCCAAAGGGCATACATACCCTGCAAGTCTGCCCCCCAGCTGCCGACACACAGCTCCTCTCCTTCCATGAGTGTAGAGTCCTCAGCTGCTCTGTCTCTCCACGTCATCTCTGCCTCCATCTCTGGAGTCCCTGCTTCTCTGGGTAGGGTCCCACACTCCACTCCTGCTCTTTTTTCTTTATGGTCCTTCAGTCCTGCGCTCCTGGACTGCATGATCAACCACTGCCCTCTTTTGCTACAAAACTTCTACCTTTACAGTTGTGATGATCGCAATTAGTCATGATAACAATTAACTCACTATTGAACCACAAGAATCTTATCCCCAACTCCTTTCACCAGCCTCATCCAAACAGGTTGAAAATCACTCAGTGGGGATTCTATCTCCCCCACCCCCACCGAAATTAACTCTCTCTTGAAAACTTGTAAGCCAGTCACTTCATGCCTTTATAGCCCACCCCATTTTAGGTAGCCAAAGTCTATGTTGCCCATCCCTATCAACCCAGTGCACAGAGGGGATGGGAATGATGTTTGCTGTGAAGATTCCTTCCCTCTTAGTTGGTGTTTTAAGCTACTACATCCATAAGTATAGGTCAAGTTCATCAAATTGTACCAAATTACACTTTAATTCGGGGGGGGTGGATTCCTCCCCCCCTTTTATTTATGTTTTCTCTTTTCTTTCCTCTAGTGTTGGGGGAGGGCAATACACAAGAAGTGGGAGGGGAATGGAAGAACAAGGCACAAAGAAGAACATTTAGGGAGGTTTGCATGGGCTAAATGGGGCAGAGGTAAATAGTGATGTATGCGCAACCTTGGAACAACAGGGTTCTGTGATACAGGGATTGAGGCATAGTCTGAATGGGTAAAAGAGGGGAAATAATGTTAAGATGCTTGGATGCCTTATGAATCTTGGTTTCCCTTGCCTTTTATTGTAAAATAGACACTTGAAGGGGAGAGAAAGGAATAGCCAGAAACAAGATTATAGGAAGTTTTAAGTCCATCTTCAGCCTATAACTGATTGGAATACCTAAAAGGGGTATCAGAACTTGCTTAGTGAAAGAGGCGTCCTTCAGAGCCTTGTTAGTGTATAAGACCTTAGGTAGAATCCTGATCCCCATCTAGAACATTCTGAGGTGGGAAATTTCCACTTGAAAAGATAAGCAGACCAGCCTGGAGCAGAGGAACAGAAGACACTTATTGAAAGAAAGACCAGCAGGAAAAATAAAAAACAGAAACGGCAGTCTGATTGACTACTACAAGAACAAGCAAGTTGTCTGCAGGGGAACCATCATGGCAAGCAATCAAGTCCCTTCAGGGCAAAAAACCCTTCCAAGACTGAAACTCAAAAGAAATACATGAACAGGCTTGTAATCTTGCTGGAAACCAGGTTGGTCTACTGATGAGGGGAAGTGGGGAAAAAGCAGCAATGAAGATGTGGGCTGAGTTCAACCACGTTCAATAGACTCCTGTCAATCTGGAGTGAGACCTGGTTGGCCAATAGTATGGTAAGACCTGGGGACTACTTAGCCCATGGACAGGGACATAGCCACAGAGGGTTAGAAAGGAGAGTGAAGTGTCCAGCTGATATGAAGTGAGGGGAGATGCACAAAAATGCCCTTACTTGAAGAAAGTACACATTTGACCTAGCTTTAATGGCTGGATGATCAGAATTCAACTAGAGGGGGAAAGAAGAGAGGAAAAAGCATAATTGCTACAATTTCATGAACTTATCCTCAGTCTTCTTTTGAGTGCCTTACAACCTGAGTAGCTCATCTGCCAGCACTAAATTAGCCAATGTTCCTTTGCTATTCATACGTTTTTCTGACTAATTCCTTAGAAGTGGACCACCTATTTCTTCTTCCGAGTGTATCTTTGTCTCAAAGCTCCTCAAAAATGTGTCCATCACGTCTCACCCTGAAGTTATGAGAAATAGCAGTAGTAGAACTTCCAGAAAAACCGCAACATGGAAGCTACCAATGTACTACAAAGTCGCAGATGAAATCACAAAAATAGGTAATAATACATGATGTGTTCCTGAGGTGTTTTTTGCTTGTTGTTACATGCCCTGTTATAATTTGTAAAATACTTTCTACATGTGTTTGAGCCTCACATTCTCCTTTTCTTGTCCAAGCTTTGAAATGAGACTTTTGTCCAAGCATCCTGGATTCCTTTTATTAGAAAATCATATTTACAAACAACGATTTAGGCAGTAGGTATAGATAGAACACAGTAAGTGAATATCCTGTCTATGCCATCGAAACATCTGTCATGTCTGTTTCAATACAAGTCCACCTACCATATGACTGGACCTAAAGGAACTTGTTCCATCAAACACTTTATGACCTACCTTCACGCATTCACCTTCCGCGTCTCCTGAGCTAGAGTCCTGATTTCATTGCAGGTAAGCGCTAAGCAGTCATGGATTTTGTCTCCCCAAAATATATGGCAACTTGTCTGGGGTATGATTCTCTGTGGTTTAGAACTTATGTGATGATTCTCCATGATGGGATCTGACTTGAGGAGCCAATGAGGATTAAGGGTGCGTTCCATCCCCGAGTCCCATCATGACCCTGATCCCCAGGGATGAGGCATGCAACACCTTTTATCTTACAAGAGATAAGAGGAAAAAGAAGTGAGCACAGAAGTGAGACCAGTTACCATCAAAAAGAAGGCCTGGGAATGGAGTGCATTCTTTGGACCTGGGGCCCCTTCACTGTGAAGTTCTGAGATCCAGGGGAAGATGTCAAAATACATGGAGATTTCCAAATATGTGGGCTGTACAGAGACTGAGAGCAGACAAGAACATTTTCCTAGAGCTGACAACGTGCATGTCTTCCCCTAGAGTGGGCACTCTGAATTTGTACTACTACCCTCATAGTAAACTAGGAGAGACTACATTTCTGTGTGTTAAAGTCATCTGCTTGTGGTATTTCTGATGTAGGAACACTAGAGAACTAAGATAGTTGTTAACTAAAATGGTCAGTGTTTACGACACAACACTTGTTCCACCAGAAAAATTATGTGGCCGTCCACTCCTGTAAAGGAGTCCTGTTGTACCACTGTAAGGTAATGCGCTGGACTGCAATGTCGGAAGCTCAAGGTCACCAGCTGCTCCTCAGAAACCCTACTACACACGGTCACTAAGGGACAGAACACTTAACAACTCTCATAAAAATTAGTCTTGAAAAAGCTATGGGCAGTCTAACTCTGTCCACAAGGCTATTAATCAAAATTCGGTGAAAATAGGTTATTATTCCTGGGCCCTAAATGTGGGAAAAACTAGGTGTGACTATACAAAGACTCGTATTTATACCTCACCTATGTTTATTTGTATGTTCTATAAACAAATGTGTTGGTTTCTAACACCACAGTTAATTTTTGCCTTATCAGTTACTTCATATGTTACTAGTTTTTCTAGTAGGAATCTTCTGGGTCTCATTACCCAGAATACATTATTTGTGAATCTTAGACTAGATGGAAAGTAGTTTCAGAACTGCTAGCTGTGAGGTGACAAACCACCTTGCAGAAAAGTTTGGCCATTTTTGAGTTTCCTGGAGGTTAGGATGCCACGAGGCATATGGGTGAGGGTAGATTTTGACAAAGCGTGTTTGTGTGTGTGTGTGTGTGTATGTGATATTTATTTTTAACTTTTTGAGTAAAAGCTTCCAGAAGAGATCATCAGTTCCCCATTCTATAAACCCCACTCTGTGTGTAATGACAATGATGACAATCCCACCGATGTGCCATCAGTTAACAGCATTTACCTCTATTCCCCTTACCTCTTGCACTCCTCCTGTGTCTTCCACGACCTTCATCTTTCCTCTGCCAACCTCCCTCTGGTTGTATCTTGCATTCCCCCACTCAAGTTAACATGTGTCTACCTACCCTCTACTCTGTGAATAATCTCCATTTCCCATCCAAACCCCTGGTGCTATTCATAGAATGTTTCTTTTATCCAGAAAACTTTTTTTCCCCCTAACTTTTCACAACAGTGGTTTCACATAGCATTTGACAAATTCCACTCAGCATAATGTCCTCCAGATTCATTGAAGTTATGAGGTGTTTCAAAGCTTCATTGTTATTCTTCAATGTTGCACAGTACTCTAGTGTATGCATGTACCCAAGTTTGATTAACCATTCTTCCGCTGCTGGACATTTCGGCTGTCTCCGTTTTTTTTTTTTGCTGCTGGGATACTACTGCAATGAGCATTGGTGTGCATATATCTATTCATGCCACGGCTCTCATTTCTTTAGTCTACAGACCAAGTGAGAGATTGCTGGGTAGTCCACTTTTTGTATTTCCAACTTTTTGAGAAAGCACCATACCATTTTCCAGTTGTTGTTATGTGCCATTGAGTCGGTTCCGACCTATAGCGACCCAGTATAGGGTTTCCAAGGAGCAGCTGGTGAGCTTGAACCACCAACCTTGCAGTTCAAAACAGCTTTGCAGTCTGGCGCATTAACCCACAGTGCCACACCAGGACTCCACAGTGGCTACACCATTTTACCAGCAGTACAGGAGGGTCCCAGTCTCTACAATCCTCTCCCATGATTATTTTTTAACTTCATGATCAATGTTAGAGTATGATGACATCTGGTTGTTTTGATTTGCATCTCCCTAATGGCTCTGGTGTAGCTTAGTGGTTATGAGTCAGGCTGCTAACCACAAGATAATCAGTTAGAAACTACTGCATGTTCCATGGGAGAAAAAAATGAGGCTTTCTGCTCCTGTAAAGATTTACAACCTCGGATAACCTACACAGGGTCACTATGAATTGGAATTGAATCCATGGCACACCACCACCAACAGCTAATGATCTTGAGCACTTCATATTTACTAGCCACTTGAATGTCTTCTTTAGTGAAATGTCTGTTCATGTTCTTTGCTCATTATTTTAATTGGATTACATGCTTCTTTTTGAGGTGTGAAGTGTTCTATAAATTTTAGAGAGTCATCCCTTGTCTGATATGTTCTTGCCAAAAACATTTTCCCTCATCTTTGGGTTCTCATTTTACTCTTCAGGTGAAATCTTTTGCTGCACACAGAAGTCTAATTTTTAAAGAGGATTGTATTATTTTGTCTTCTGCTATTTCTGTGTTGTCAGGTATGTTTGTGCATTGATGCCATGTATCAAATACCCTGTTTGTCCCTATTTTTCATTGATGATCTTTATAGATCTGGGTTCCTCATTTAGGTCTTTAATCCATGAATGTTGATAGTGGATCTAAGCAAAATGAAGTCATTCACAACGTAAATCTTTTCTCCATTTATATGCTGTACTGGTCCAGTGGTGATTTTTTTTTCTTTACTTTGAGGTGCAACCCATACCGACAACTGTGGCCTTTGATCTTCACCAGTATTTTAAGTCCTCTTTGTTTTCAGCAAGCAAGGTTGTATCATCTGCGTATCACAGGCTGTTAATGAGTCTTCCTCCAACCCTGATACTAGGTTTTACTTCATATAATCCAGCTTCTTGGATGATTTTCTCAGCACACAGATTGAATAGTATGGTGAAACAATAAAACCCTGGTGCACAGCTTTCCTAATTTTAAACCACTAGTATTCCCTTGCTCTGTTCGAGCAATTGCTTGTGTGTCTATGTACATGAGCAAAATTAAGTGTTCTGGAAGACTCATACTTTGCAATGTTGTCCCTAGCTTGTCATGAATCACACAATCTGAAAGCCTTTGCATAGTTAATAGAACACAGGAAAACAGCTTTCTGGTATTCTTTGCTTACAGTCAAGATCTATCTGATATCAGCAATGATATCCCTCATTCCACTTCCTCTTCTGAATCTGGCCTGAACCTCTGGAAGTTCTCTGTCAATGTAGGGTTGCAGCTGTTTTTGTATTATCTTTAGTAAAGCTTTACTCACATGGGATATCAAAGACAACTGTGGGATGATTTCTGCATTCCGTTGACCAGGTAGTTATCTTCCAAATTTCATGGCATACATGAGCAATTGCCTCCAATGCCGCCTCACTTTGTTGAAAAGATTTCCATTTATAACCCATCTATTCTCTGTGCCTTGTTTGTTGCCAATGCCTTCAATGCACCTAGGACTTCTTCCTTCAGGATCACTGGCTCTTGATCATATGCTACCTCTTGAAATGGTTGAATAGCAGCCAATTCTTTCCGATACAGTGACTCTGTGTATTCCTTCCATCTTTTGATGCTTTCTGCATCATTCGGTATTTTGCCCATAGATTTCAATACCGCGAGTCGAGGTTTGATTATTTTTCTTCAGTTCCCTAAGCCTGACAAATGCTGAGCGTGTTCTTCCCTTTTGGCATTTGCACATTTTGTTAGAATATTTGACTTTGTCTTCTGAGCTGACCTTTGAAATTTTCTGTAAAACTCTGTACTTCCTCACTTCCATTTGCTTTAGCATATCTATGCTGGAAAGCAAGTTTCAGAGTCTCTTCTGTCATCCAGAAAAGGTCTCTTCTTAATGACCTCTTGCTTTCTCCCTATATGATATTTTTGATGTCATTGAACAACTCTTCTGGTCTTTAGTATTTAGCTTTAAAGCATCAAATGTGTTCTTCAGATGATCTCTAAATTCAGGTGGGATTATGCTCAAGGTGATACTTGGCTCTGATGCACTTGTTTTCTTCAGCTTCAGTCTGAATTTGCAAATGAGCAATTGATGATCTGTTCCACAGCCTGCTCCTGGCCTTGTTTTGGCTGATAAGATGGAGCTTTTCCACCACGTCTTTCCACAGATGTAGTCAACTTGACTTCTGTGTTTTACATCTGGCAAAGTCCATATGTATACTTGTCTTTTATGTTGTTTAAAAAAGGTATATGCAATGAGCGAGTCACTAGTCTTGCAAAATTCTATCATGCAGTCTCCAGCATTGTTTCTATCAACAAGGCCACTGTTTTCCAACTAGTGATCCTTCCTCTTTGTTTTGAATTCCAGTTCCTTGGAATTCCAATCCCCAGTATTTATCAATCTTAATTGCATGTTTGATCACTATCAGACTGAAGAAGTTGATGGACTTCTTCAGTTTCATCCTCACTGGCTTCAGTGCTTGGTTTAATTGAATTTTAACAGTGGATAACTGGTCTTCTTTGTTGTTGCTTCTCATTGCCACCTACTCGGTTCTGACTCTTAACAACCCTGTATATGGGGGAGCTTGAACCGCCAATCATGTAGTTCAAACCAACTTTGGAGTCCAGCACATTAATTCACAGTGTCACACCAGGACTCTGGTCTTTTTTTAGGTGTACGGATATTATTGTGTCACAGACAAGAATGAACTTAATGACAGAGCTTGGTATGTTCTTTATATGATGAATGCGACACCTTTCCTTTCCTCTTCAATTTGTCAACCCTGGCATAGTAAATCATTTGATTGTCAATTCAAAATGGCCAATTACAGTCCATTTCAGCGCACCGATGCATAGGATATCAATGTTTATACATTCCATATCATTTCCTACAATTTCCAGCAATATTTGTACAATACAAATATTTGCAAAGTTTGAAAATATCACACTGTTAGAAAGATACAAATTATAAAAGGAAAAATAAGAAAGCAATGGAAGAGCATGTATTATATATGGAAGTAAAACACTTTCAAACCAAATGCAAGGTGAGTAGTACATTTAATAATATACAAAACAACATCAAAAAGACACTTTAGCTTAAGGTTACAGGCATAGCGGCCTACTTGAAATACTAAAAATCATTAAGAAAGGTAACATGTAACTTCGGTTAAAAAAGCAATAAATATTGATCAGCATAGCTGCACAAATACAAAGGACTTTCATTTATCCCAAAGTCACAGATTAGCTGTACTGAGCATTTCTTTGGGTTGATAATGATTTCTTACTAAAAAAAAAATTGTTCTTTAGCCCCTCACTTGGGGAAATTTGAGACTTGAAATGCTAAAAGCATGAAACATCTAACTTTTTCCAAAGGGAGTCTTTCCACTGAAGGTTCTTTTTTTAATATTTTTATTTATATAGATAGATAGATATTAAAATATTTTATATTTATATTTTATATTATATATAATATAAAGCGAGGTTCAGGAATGAGAAAAAGTTGTCCCACATTTCTTACATTCATAAGAATTCTAGTCTGAGTTCTTTTATGTTTACAGAAGTGTGAGGAAGACCTGAAGGTTTTCCCACATACTTTACATTCTTAAGCCCTCCCTCTTTAGTGAAGTCTAATGTGAGTGTTTAACAAAGAGGCAGAAATAAAAGCTTTCCCACATTGCTTACATTCATAAGGCCTCTCTCCACTATGAGTTCTTAGATGTATAGTGAGGGCTGAAGAAGAACTAAAGCCTTTCCCACACTGCTTACAGTCAAAAGGTTTCTCTCCACTATGAGACCTTCTATGTATAGTGAAGGCTGAGGTATCCCTGAAGGCTTTCCCACACTCCTTACATTCATAAGGCTTCACACCACTGTGAATTCTTATATGTGTTCCAAGGCGTGACTTAGAAATAAAGGCTTTCCCACATTCCTTACATTCGTAAGGTTTCTCTCCAGTGTGCATTCTCATGTGTGCAGTTACAGTTTCAGAACAACTAAAGGTTTTCCCGCATTCTTTGCATTCATAACGTTTCTGTACACTGTGAGTTTTTTTGTGCATATTGAGAGATGAGGTTTGCGTAAACCTTTTTCCACATTCTTTACAGTGATAGGGCCTCTCTCCACTGTGAGTTCACTCATGTGTAATGAGGCCTGACCAACAAGTAAAGGCTTTCCCACATTCCTTACATTTGTAAGGTTTCTCTCCACTGTGAACTCTTTTATGCATAGCAAATGCTGACGAGTAACGGAAGACTTTTCCACACTGATCACACTCATAAGGTTTCTCTCCACTGTGAGTTCGCATATGTGAATTAAGGTGTGTGGAAGACTTAAAGGACTTTCCGCATTCTTTGCACAGATAGGCCTTCTCTAAACTGTGAGTGCGCATGTGTCCCCTCAGGTGTGAAGAACAGCTGAAGCATTTTCCACACTCCTTACATTCATAAGGCCGCTCTCCACTGTGAGTTCTTAAGTGTATAGTGAGGGCTGAGGAAGAACTAAAGCACTTCCCACATTCCTTACATTTAAAAGGCTTCTCTCCACTGTGAGTTCTTTTATGCAAAGTGAGAATTGAAGACTGACTAAAGAGTTTCCCACACTGCTTACATTCATAAGGCCTTTCTCCACTATGAGTTCGCATATGTGTGATGAGGTGTGAGGAACAATGAAAGGATTTGCCACATTCCTTACATTTGTAAGGTTTTTCTCCACTGTGAGTTCTCTGGTGCATAGTGAGGATTGAGGACTGACTGAAGACTTTCCCACACTGCTTACATTCATAGGGTTTCTCTCCAGTGTGAGTTTTTAGATGTGAAGAGAGGTGTGAGGAACGGCGAAAAGTTTTCCCACAGTCTTTACACTCATAAGGTCTCTCTCCACTGTGAATGGTTCTATGTTTACAAAGCTGTGAAGAATAACTAAAGGCCTTCCCACACTCCTCACATTTATAAGGCCTTTCTCCACTGTGAGTCCGAAGATGCACAGTGAAGGCTGAGGAACATTTAAAGGTTTTCCCACATTCCTTACATCCAAAAGGCTTCACTCCACTGTGAGTTCTTACATGTGTAATGAGGCCTGAAGAATTCTTAAAGACTTTCCCACATTCACTACATTCATGGTGTTTCACACCAGCGAGATTTCTCACAGGTTTCTTAAGAACTGATGCAGAAATAAAGTCATTGCCCTGTGCCTTACGTTTATGTTGGTTTCTTTCTTTATGTTTTCTTAAAGGAGTGGATAAGAGACAGGGACAATGTACTGCTTCTCCAGGGTCCTTACACGGACAGGTTTTGGTTTTGCATCTACCGTCAGATCGCATATGACGGTCACGTGACGAGTGATCCCTGAAGGTGTGTCCACACACGCAGCATTCAAAAGGATTTACATTTGGAGAAATGCTTTGTAACACAGCTGTATTTGGAAGTTGGTAGAGGATTTTCCTCAAATGATTGTCTTCATTATTTTCAACAATGTTCTCTAATGTATGACTTCTGTAAGAATAGGCAACACAATTTCAGAAATAAATTTGACCCCATTTCATTGTTCCCAAACATAAATCAAGTTAAATATGCATGGTTAAATCATCTAGCTGCAATATTATGATTTCAATCACCTTTTTCTAAAACGTAAGACTTTTGAGATCACTATATCCAAGTAAAGGACGCTTCAAATATTTCATACGTGACCCATGTATGAAAATATCTTATTGTGAAAATTTGACAAAGACGTAATTTTAAATCCAATATTCTGCATCGGGCTCCATAAACCTTGGGGATCCAATGTAGGACAATGAAGGATTTTCGTGATTGTGGTTAGCGACATACTTAGTGTGACTCGGGACACTACCATGTCTGAACATGACAACGACACACTCAGTGTGACTTATATACACAGAAATCGTTATGTATGTGTTTATATGTCTGGATGCCTTAGGACTTTCTAGGGTGGCCTTATTTCCTCTTGTATGAATATCACTCACCTCAGACATCTCCCCTGGTTTATATGCTGATCACTGTTGTCATGAAATTCAGACGTATCTCCTATCATGGAGGACCAGGTGCTATTCCTCAGGTATTCCATCATTATATGTTCACTGGACAACTCTTTTCCATCACTAAACTTTACAGAAACTGAATAATCCAAGATGAAGTTCATAATATTACACAAAAAGGAAAGCAATGATTAAGGAACAAAAAACCCTGCAAATAAAGAAAAGCTTAGCCACATTTTGCTGGTTTTGGGCAGCACTTTTTCAATGGTTAAAGCTATTCATTAGGAATACTTCTATGATGATCGAGTGATGACATAAATGTAACCACACAAGCTGAGATGAAAGCTACTGGACACTACACACATATCACTAAAACAAGAAATAAAGGTCTCACTAGTTACAGGGGTGAATGGACCGATAACATCAGAAAAGTTATGAACAATTATCTAGGAATTTGTGTCCTCATCTCAAAAGAGGTTTTTCTCTAAATGTAATTCCATGTATTGAAGACTGGCCATTCAAAAAATTCTTGCTTTCCAGGTGCTTCCTGACACTGCAGACCCGGCTGAGTCCTGAACCCACTTGGTCAGATCTTTCTCTGGCTTCTTCAGGACTGGGTTCTCTTTGTGGGTGCACATCACGAGGAAGACAGCGCAGAGCAACAAACACTTCCCTGACACTGAGCCAACACTGTGCCCCTCACAGTCTTTGGAGATAAGACAGATAGGAGTTTGTATGCAGAAAAATAATCATGTAAACTCTCTACAAGGGTCCAAAGCTACAAATCTCTCAGTGTCCGCAATGATTGCACATCACTCTTAAAGAGCCGAAAGGCTTTCCAACACAAGACAAATGAAAATTCCTTTAATGCATACAGCTTTTAGTTCATGAGGCAGCCAGGATGAATAAGCACCACAGATCAGTGACCATGCCCATTTTGTTTTAGAATGTATTCTCATTCCGGATCCCAAATACTGGAACAAAGTTGATGTGTATATTATTTTGTTCAGTAAAGGTATTCTTACCTACTGAGGCCAGGTTTCTGAAGGTTTCCATCATTACATCTCTGTAGAATTTTCTCTGATCAAGATTCAGCAAAGCCCACTCTTCCTGGGTAAAGACCACAGCCACATCCTCAACAATCACTGAGTCCTAGAACATCCCACACAGAGATCAGCATGGGATCATGTGCTCCAATGTGGACAAAAGCAAAGAGCAAGGAACTGAGCATTCCTGGACATTTGACAGAAAGCTCACTGTGATTTGACAGTCTACTCAAAGGTACAGCTCACCAGCCTCATCCTTTCACTGCAATGAATTCACTTCCTCACTGCTGACATCTTATAGCACAGATTTACAACCAGCAAAATCATCTTTCCACAGTCTGACTGCAAACAACTGCAGTCTTGTTACCGTCTTTACCTTCTAGAACAATTTTAAAAGAACACAGCAGAAAAGCTGACTCAAATCACTTCCTTATGAACATACATACCTCTTTCTGAATGACAAAGAGAATACCCAACAAAGAGCATGTGAGTGCAAGTGAGGGATGAGCAACTGGGAAACACTAAGGAATGGAGGCTTTCCACTCGCAGCCATAAAAGCACGACACGGACAAACTAGCGACACAAGGCCCTGAATTGATCATAGTTTCTTCAACTCTGGGAGATCAGGAGGTGACAGGTTTACTTGCTATCACAGCTTTTTGAGAATTATGAACTTTTACAAGTCAGTCACATACATTTTAAAAACTCAGTTGTTTTTTCATCATACCTGTCTGTTTTAGAAATAGGGAAAGCCAAACAGAACTCGCATGAGTCAGGAATCACAAATGCAGAGGACTGCACAATCCTCACTCAGAAAGAACTCTATGGCCCTAATTAGTCCCTGTGTCCTCAGGAAAGGTAAATTCATACACCTGCACACAAAAAGTCTAATGTCCCAACATGAGGAACAGTGCTACCTCTGTTGAAATGACTCCCGGCCTTGTGTTTGCTGACTGAGACTACAGTGCTCCATCTGTATGTAAGGCGTGCACAACAGCATAACACGGTCACTGAGACCAACACACATGTGTAAACACTGTGGAACTAGTACATGTTTTGTTATGATTTTAAAATAAGAAAATCCAGGTTTCAAGTTAGCTAGAGTGCAAAGAGTTTACCTGTTAAGGCTGTCAGTGACGCATAAGAAGAGAGGTTTACACACCAACCCCTGCTAAATTCTCTCCCATTTGCTGGCCTGGAAAGCACAGAAACATGACACCTGAATCCTGACCACAAGGGTGGCCTTTGTGAAGCAGTACCAATTCCAGTGAGAAAAGGCTGATAAAATAACTCCAATGTAAGAGTGAAAACCGACAGGCTTTAGAGCAAGGCGACCCCTCTTGTCAGGAGCAGGGTGAACTCCGCGCTCTAAGTCAGCTCACATCAATTCTGCACTTACGGTGCCACAGACGCGGAGTTACAGCCCAAATCTAAAAGTGTTCTGCACTCCTGTGGACCAAGCTACACATCTGAACACCATCAGCAACCAACCTTAAGGTTCATCATACAATACAGTAACAGTTCAATGTTCTGAATATGGTTCAACTATGATCTGTGAAACGTTTTACCCAAGAAAACACCCACCAGCTATTTGTAGCTCAGAGTCCTGCTGTAGTGCTATGTGGTAATGCACCAGACCGCATGCTCACCAGCTGCTGCTCTGAAACCCCACACAGGGTAACACACCAAACCGCATGCTCACCAGCTGCTGCTCCGAAACCCCACACAGGGTAACACACCGGACCGCATGCTTACCAGCTGATGCTCCGAAACCCCACACAGGGTAACGCCCCGGACTGCATGCTCACCAGCTGCTGCTCCAAAACCCCACACAGGGTAATACCCCGGACTGCATGCTCACCAGCTGCAGCTCCAAAACCCCACACAGGGTAACACTCCGGACTGTATGTTCACCAAGTGCTGCTCCGAAACTCCACACAGGGTAACGCACCGGACCGCATGCTCATCAGCGGGTGCTCCGAAACCCCACACAGGGTAACGCCCCGGACCGCATGCTCACCAGCCGCTGCTCCGAAACCCCACACAGGGTTGCTGTGTGTCAGAACTGACTCGACGGCACTTAACAACAACAATTCATATCTTATGAAGCTCCTAAAGCAGGTATTGTTCAAACTGGTTCCAGCTGAGTAAAGTTAGGGTTCATCAGACCAATTTGCTGAAGAGTAAATTGTTGACAATTCAATTTCCGTTCATATGCATGGTGTTAATAGGCTATGCTTTTCCAATGACACCATTAGTGGTCTAGAGCCCAGCTGAATACTGGGGAGAGGACACTAAGGAAATATCCTTTTCAATTACACAACCTGGAGCTCCTGCCCGTGACGAAGGCCTGTGTGTCAGGAAGACTTTGCAACTTTAGACTTATCACTGTGGAGCTGTGGCTGCTTTCATGGAGTAAACAAGGTAATACTGACACAAAGCTGACTTCAAGTTAGTGAGGCAGATAGAGTACTGAGAAAAATGGACTCTGAGGTTGCACCTGGATTCTTCAGGTCTTTAATAGGGACAGCAATTCTAAATGGAGAGAGAGAGAGAGTTAGCTACAGATACAGTGGCCCGCCGTGGACCTGTGGGCTGCAGGGCTATGTGTACAGATAGATTCACGTATACAGTGGCCTGCCATGGAGCTGTGGGCTACAAGGCTATGTGTACAGATAGATACAACTACAGATAGAGTGGCCCACCGTGGAGCTCTGGGTTTCAGGGCTATGTGTACAGATAGACACAGCTACAGATACAGTGGCCCACTGTGGAGCTGCGGGCTGCAGGGCTATGTGTAGAGATAGATTCACGTATAGATACAGTGGCCCACCGTGGAGCTATGGGCTACAGGGCTATGTGTAGACATAGATTCACATATAGATACAGTGGCCTGCCTTGGAGCTATGGCCTGCAGGATTGGTATGAACCACAATGCCAACAGTTCCAACTCAGCAGCGACTCCTCGGAAATCTTTCACAGGGTTGATATGACTTATAACCAACTTGATGTTACTTAGGAACAACAATACACACACACACGCGCGCAAGCATAAGTCAAAACGTACTAGCACAACAAACAAGTGGTCCAATAAACAGCCTCATGTCTCTAAAGTGCTAAAGCATAACCCACGTTAGGAGTTCTGCCATAAACAGTTCAATATCATCTTTAAGAATGTTTTTAAGATTTAATAAGCTTTACAGTAACTTTTACACCAGTTAAAATAAGCATTTCTGTGTCTGAAATGCTTCTATCCATCCAATAAAAAAATTTTTTTGAACAAACCCAACAATCTAGAAAATTCCTTCCAGTGGAAACTGTAATCCCTAGAATTTGAATACACACATCTACTGAGCTTCTCTAGCAAATATGCACTTTTTTGATTCTCACTGAACACTGTGGACAACAGTTAACAGTTAAAGGACTCAGACACACACTGAAGGCAGAGGAAATGGGACAAGGACCTAAACTGGAGTCCCTGCTGTCCACACACCTGAAAACCTCATGGCTAACAGAGTCCCAACTGTAGAGACAAAATGGGTCTAGGGACTTCATAGGGTCCAGCTGGACCCAATGTTCCCAGTTCTATGTCTTTGGTGCCAGCAGGTGAGCAGCAGTACCACCCAGGACTTCACAAGAGCCAGGGATTCCCCTTCTAATCGAGAACACAGTCTCAGAGGTGGCGCTATCTGAGAACTGCTCAGAAAACGCTGCAGTGTCTAGGAAAGTCAAGACAACTGTTAGGAGAGATGGACCAAGGATGATGTTAGAGGACCAGGGCTCAACATCCACAGTTAGCGCTCCCACATCTTTAAACTACTCTGGTCAGAAGAGTCTGTCAGCGAACACAGAACAAACACATCAAGGTCCATGTTGGCAGATGGTAACACCCCATGATATCACCCCAGAAAGGTGACCCCAAGAATCCAACTTGGGAGAAGGTACATCTGTTTAGAGGACTGTTCCGTGACACTGGAGGAGGGCCTGAGGATACCGCCTAAGGTTCAGTCCCTGGGCGCCCGCTGCCATCTTTTCCCCTTGCTGAGGAACCAGCCTCGCAGCACACAGCTGTTGGACCACACTTCCCCTCCAGCCCTACCATTGATAGAGGTGAACTGAGCTGTACAGGGAACTCACCATTTCCTGCCTGTTGTTTCCGGACGTCTCAGGGTGGTTCTCTCTACGTCCCCGAAGCCACCTGAGGCAGCAGACGGCAGTGGTAGCAGAGCAGTGGGCAGCGTGGAGGCAGATGAGTGCTGGGAGCTGCACACACCAGGCCCAGCAGCTGAAACCCTTCCTTCAGATTCACAGATGTACCAGGTGATCATCTTGGGTCCCCAGCCGCCTGGACTGGACTTGGTCTCCCTGCACCAGAGAGCTGAGAGGGAAGGAGAGTGGGGGGAGTAAACACAGACTTGACAGGATTCCGACTTCCTCCCTGAGCACATCTGCAATGAAGGTAGAACAGGATCCAGCCTCCAGAGTGCACAACTGCATTCTTCAGTTCAAAGGACTCTGAGTCATTTCCATCCGTCAAGGACCCCCTACATGACTTTCTTACTTTTAAAAATAATCCTGACACAAGACGGAGGACTTTTTCAATGCTGACTCATGGTTAGAGCATGTGTGTGATGAGTCCGTGTGATGTGTACTAGGGTATTAGTGTCTTGAGAGTGTGTCAGTGTGTTAGAGCAAGTGTGTGGTGAGTTTGTGTGTTGTATACTAGGGTATTAGTGTCTGAATGTGTGTCAGTGTGTTAGAGCGTGTGTGTGGTGGGTCTGTGTGTTGTGTACAAGGGTATTAGTGTCTGAGTGTGTGTTAGAGCATGTGTGTGGTGAGTCTGTGTGTTGTGTACTAGGGTATTAGTGTCTTGAGTGTGTGTCAGTGTGTTAGAGCATGTGTGTGGTGGGTCTGTGTGTTGTGTACTAGGGTA